TTATTTCATATATCTCTCCTCGTCTTAAAATCTAAGAACTCTGTCCAAAACCAAAAGCCAACCTACACAATATCCAGCTTGTCAAATTTTCCAGTAATATTTCTTTTTTGTGAGACTTTATTATATTCAACAGTGAAGCACCACATAGATTCAGGAAGAGTGCACTTAAAGCAGAAACGAGTTACGTTGTTTGTTCTGAAATGAAGGTGCCTTCTTTGCCACCCACTGATCACTTCCATAGCCAGCTGTAGATTCTGCTCTGGAGTGACTTCGGTTGAGGATGCATGTGCTGCTGTCAGAGTTAGGCTTCCTCAGTTTTCTCCTGTGTATGGGAGTGTGCCGATTGAAAAACAGTACTTTTAACAGCGGGGTGGGAGTTTGCAGGCAATGGTTTCTGAGCACGCACAAATTCCTCAAACTAACAAACAGAAAACCTCTCACGGTGGCACCTGAGAAAAAAACCTCTGTAGTAATCAGGTTAGTAATATGCCATTTGGACTAACTATTATTAGCAAATACCTGCTTGGTACAGTTTGTCATGCAATGAATTCCCAGCCAGTTGCATACTTTGCAAGTAACCTGCAGTTCCAGTTGATTGTGTTTTGCGCGTTAGATAAGAATATCAAGTCAGGATTTATTGCTGCGTTATATTAATTCACTGCAAAGAAATTAACCTGACAGGTGTTAACTTAAATGCTTTAAAAAAAAAAGTATTGATGTAGTAACACAAGCATTCAAGGCATATATTAACTTTGGGTAGTCTGCTGGGTTTGTGGTTGGAGCTAGTTCTTTCCTAAGAGTTTCCTTTCTGTTGGAGACCTCGTCAAGTTTAGTGTTTCTGGATTCTAGCTCAATATAGGTACACTAACACTGTCATAAAAATAAGTCTTCTTGGAGGAGAGGAGTGTTTACAGCTCAAGTTGCAATAGGAGTTTTGCCAGTAGCATGTGTTTTTGCCTTTAAGACAGCTCTTGTTTTTGTTCTTTGTCCATGTTGTGAAGCAGAAAAATAAATCATCCAGGAAACGGTGCTCTCTCCTCCTGTGTTTTTAAGTTCCCTTTTATGATCATGGAATGTCTTAGTCAATACCTTTTTCTCTTTTTCTCTTAGAAGTGAAGAAGAAGGCTGGCTTTATCACTCCTGTGCCAGGAGGGGTAGGACCTGTGACTGTGGCAATGCTTCTGAAGAACACGCTCATAGTTGCTAAAAAGCTCCTTTACTAGAGCAAGCGAGCTACCTTGGAAGAAGAGTGCAAGTTGTTCTATTTATTAATACACAAACCGTTTATTTTTTACTACGAAGATATTTATTTCTACATTGTATTTATTTTTTCATGTAAAGCACGCTAAACCCGATGGTTTACAAAATGTTAAAATACTGTATGTTACCTCCTACGGACTTATTGTGAGCAAAAATGAATTGGATAATGCAGCACATGCAGACATGGTGGTGGTAGTCAATTATGTGCATGAAAATGAAGAGCAAAGCAAATATACCTGTGTATCTGGGGAGGAGGTGCAATTACAAATGTTTTTTAAGCAGCTGGGACCCTCATTTTGATCAGTGTTAAAACTAAGTTTCAACATGCTAGAAAACTTCTAAAATTATCGTTTGGATTCTGAGGTCATGAAGCACTCTGGATATCTTGAAATCTTAGAAATCTTGACTTTTTTTTTAGCACTTTGAGATAGCAGCAGATATTTTGAATCTCAAAGGGGAGGAAGACTGAAATTTTCGTTTCAGCTGCCAGGCAGTAACGCTGACCTGAATGCACATGTTCAATACGTGTTTTAAAACAGTCACGTAAACTTCACCGCTGGTGAAGTTCTGACCATAAACATCTAGGAGGTATGCATGAGTAAGTAGCTAGAATTAAGGCTGGAGTTATTTTCTTTCTATGTCTGAATTTGTTTGGCAAAGTGTTTTGGTGCACAATGCCTTCCTCCCACAAAAAAAACCTGAACGCATGGCTGGGCTGGATAGGACTTCAGTGAGAGAGTGTAGTTAGAACTGCTCTGCATGTACTTTTTGTGTAGTGAGTGGCGGGGAGCAGAGAAGAGAAGAAAAACACAAGCTTATCCCTCAGGAAATCTCGGTGTTGGATTTTTAAACCAATTAATTATTCCTTACTCTCTGAAATTGCATGTTTTGGTTTGGTGGGTGATGTAAGGCTCAGCCCTGTGAAGCCGTGGCTACAGTGTTTTGCTGCTTAGAGAAGGCTCGGTGGGAGCCTAAGAGGCGTATGTTTCTGTGCCCTAGAAGGTGAGTTCTAGGTTGCATCTGGCATAGTCTCGTGCAGTGTGCCAGCAGGAGTGGAGCTACTGCTCAGGTGCCACTAAAACTGAGTGACATGATGGGCGTCAAGAGCCAACCCCACTTCCCAGTGGAATCAGTGGGAGCCGGTTTGGACCTCTGTCTTTGTGTTTTCAATCGCAGTTGGGATAACCTTGGTTTATTTACATCAGAAGTCTTGGGTGTTTGCTAGTAGACTATAGATAACTAGGGAGAGAAAGGAAAAAAATTGTTACTGCTGTTAAACAGAAAACCCCTCACCTTACTGTAATAAAAGAAGCAAGATGGAGCTTTACTTCTGCTGATTGTTCTTACGGTGGAGTTTCTGAGAGTTTTGTTCAAAGCAGTGTTTAAAAAAAGTTCACAGGGTCGTAACTCAGTGTATAGTGCCAGTAGTGCAGACACTTGCTTATCTGTTGAAATTTAAGCGGTAATATAAATGGTAGGAGGATCAAGGTGCCTGTGGAAGCGAGTCTTAGTCTGATCCTTGATGAAGATGGAATAAAGCTTGTACACTGTTATGTTAGTCTTGGTGAAAAAATGTAATAGTTTTTGGGGTGGTTGTGTTTTGGTGGGGATTTAGAGTGGAGACAACGCAGCTCTTCTGCATGTTCAGTCCTGATTTTTTTTTTTTTTTTTTTTTTCCATCTCTTGACATTGCTATTCTAGATGCATGTTTGTTCTCTTTGGTTTAACTACAGTCATTCTGCATTTTTGTAGCGGATCAACAATTTATGGCTTTTTGCTCACATCACTCGAGTTCTCTGCCTCACTCATGTCCTGCCGAGTGTCTTGTGCTTCTTCAGCTTTTTCTCTTTGCCCCATGGTGAATGTGTTAGCATTACACACAAGCCAGTGAGACAGGGAATTCATGCGACAGCGTGCTCTTTTCAGAGTTACCAGATATATCCGCCGGGAGAGCATCCAGAAGGAAGGGCCTACGAACCAACCATAAAAGCACGCTCGTGTGCCAGACCCGGTCAAGCCCTGTGGCGGACAGAGGCACGGCCTTATCCACCAAAGCCTTCTCGGGGGCTACCGCACCCAACCGCGTTGCCTGATGACAAATCCACCGCACGGATTCAAGCAGATTAAGCTCCCATTGTGTAGCTGCGTGTTGAAAGGCAGGCTGGTGAGCCTGAGCCCTGCGCGGGACTGATAGCAGAGGTTACCCAGGCAGGCATAAACACCCCTGTCGATCTGGGGAGTGCGCAGGGTGCGCTTGATCAGCGTGCAGGCATGCAGCAATTCAGGGCAGTGAGGGATGGGAAAAGCCTTCTGGAACGCAGTCCGTGAGCATAATTAAAATGTGCATAACTAGCTCGTGTTTTTCCCTGAACATGTGAAGTGGTTAAATTGAATCCTACAGATCACTGAGGAGAGTGCAGTGCAGAGCGAGAACTTGAGCTGACTGGGGTTGTTAAAGCGCTTATTGGAAGACACTTGCTTTTAAAATATCGAAGTTATGAAATGTTTATGTTGCTTGGAGCTCACAGTTGAGAAAGTGAAAGTCATTGCTGATGTGTGCAGTGTGTACCTTGCCTGTGGTGAGAGTTAGCTGCTTGTTGTGCGTGTACATTATTGACCTGGGCCTTTCAGACCATCTGCTCTGCTGGGTCTGGCGATGGAAGTACCCTTCGGCGAGAGACCGGTCCTACTTGTCTCAGGCTGCCTGCGACCTTGGAAGCTGGACAGCATTTGGGGCTGTGGTGAGTGGTTTAGTAGAAGACAGGTGTGTGACAGATCAGATGTTTGCACATACCTAAGAATTAGAATTGTTCTCATGATGCCTGCTTGCTTCCTGGAAGAGGTTGAGATGAGCTTTTATGGCAGTTGGGCAGGAGCAGTAAAGGGTTAGCAAGGGTTAGAAAGGAGGCAACGGCTTACCAACTGTGTCAGTCTGTTTTTCGTCAGTGCCTGGCACTGTTTGAGTTCTGCCCCTCAACCACACATACCTCGACTGGCGACTTCAGGCCTCGTGTGGGTCTGCTGGCCTGCCTCGCTCTAGAGTTGTGCACCCAGGAAGGCTCAATGGAAAGCCGTAGCGTGCTGCTCAGGCTCTCCAGAGCCTGTCATCAAACGCCTCTTGCTGGCGGTCACTGATGGCGAACATCAGCCTTTATCTTGGTCTGATCACTTCCTAATCTTGGCACTAGCTCTTCTTGCAGCGAGTCTTGTGCGTGGCAGGGAGCTGAGTACAGGGAGGACTGAGGATGGAAGACGAGCAAAGCAGAGGCTCGTCCTGGGACTCTGTGCTCCAGAGTAGCGTCGTGAATGCTGACTAACCTCCTGGAAGTAACGCAAGAGCAACATTGCTCAGGGGCCAAGAAAGATCATGGTTTTCACCATACGTCATTTGTCATTTTGCTTGCCTCCGTTTTGTTGTATTTCACCGAGCTGCTCTGGCAGATACCAGGTCTCTCTTGAAAACTGTACTTTTGCATGCACAATTATGCCCACGGGTAATAGGAAACCCGGGTTTCAAAAGAAAACCTGATCCCCTTGCGAGATAATAGCAGTTTCCTAAGTAAATGTATGGTTGCCCCGGGGGTTGAGGTCGTTGCCAGATGCACCTTTTTTTGATTGGCGAGAACAGCAGATGACGCTTCCTGGCATATAAGAGCGAGAGAAAACACGGGAGCGCAGATAAGCAGAGCGAGCCAGCCATCTGGAAAGAAGAGCTGAGAAGGTTAAAGCAGCTGTTTGCCATGGCATTTGGCATGCTGATCTATATTTTGCTGAAAGGTAGGTCTGGCGGAGGCTTTTCAGTGTTGTAAGCAACACGGCTTTGTTGAACAGTAGTTTGCTCTTTCTGCAACAAGGGGTAGGGATGGGAAGCACGCCAAGACGTTATGAAGCAGCGTTATTGTAGTAATGGTAAACCTGGGGGAAATTTTAACTGATAGGGTATAATTTAGACTTGTTGGAAAGAAGCTAATTAGACTGGTAAATATGCGTGAAATTGTAGTATCTGTGCTGTAAATTGCGTAAGATGATAGAATGAAGAACAGAATGGCCGTGTGTTTTGAAAATGTGCAATTAATAGTTTATTTCCCCACAATCCTAATGAGATTGTGGCAAAAGGCAATTAGAGGCCAAGCATGTTTTAAACTGATTGTTATTATATTGCTGCATGTATCAGAATTGTATTAAGTGGGTATGTGTTTTCTGGATGAAATGAACCTTGGATAGATATACTGAGTTTTTCTGTTACAGTAAGCATCTATTTGCATTACACAGCAATGGGGGCACTGAGTGAAGAGTCAACTCTCACTGTGATTGTTATTATATTGCTGCATGTATCAGAATTGTATTAAGTGGGTATGTGTTTTCTGGATGAAATGAACCTTGGATAGATATACTGAGTTTTTCTGTTACAGTAAGCATTCTATTTGCATTACGCAGCAATGGGGGCACTGAGTGAAGAGTCAGCTCTCACTGTTTCATCCCTCAGCACAGACATATGGAATAATTGGACAAAAAGCAACACTGAAGGTATTTCCTTTTGTTCTGTTGGTCTCTATTAATCTGTCCCTTAACACCCCCCCCACTAAACCAGAAAACACCAAAACAAAAACCCCAATGTAATCTTTTATTATGATAACTGCTGTCAGGCTCCTGTCACTTGGACCCTCTTGAATTTTGTGTGTGTTGTACTTGTGAGAAGAGCTGCTTTGCTCGTGGAGCATTAAAAACCTCAATGAAGTAGCAGCTGCCAGCTCAGAGTTGACCAGCTAAAGAACTGTTTATCCAGAGTCAGTTATAATTTGAAGACGTTTTAAGGCTAATTGAGAGAGATCGTTTGAGTTTCTGATGGCCGTTTCTGTTATTTGTAGCTAGTTCTTGGTTTCTAGCTGTCTTCAGTGTGAATCTTGATGCACACCAGTGATGTTAATCATTACTGTTACTCAGTAGTTTCTCTCTTTGTTGCAGTTTTGCTTTCGGCTATCGCAGCTTCCACAGCCCTCTTCAGAGTGCTCGCTCTCTCTTTTCTTTCTTTTTCTTGTTCTTCCCTGACTGAAATGTCAACTCAAGCTATTTACCTGCCAACATCTGAGACCAGAGCGCTGGGTTAATCCTGCAAGCTGCATTCTTGATGTTACTTCAGGTGCTAGTGATGTCATGGCTTTGGGAGAACTGTGCGATCTGGAGCTGAGGTTTTGGCAGGTCAGTAAAGGAGGAAAGCATTTTTAACGGTCATACTTAGTAATGGCTTTGTACTTTACAAGAATATAAACATGCATACAGATGATCTTCTGTTAAATGTAAGTCCTCACAGGATGCCTTACAAGCTTTGTTTAGTAGATCTGTAACCTTTTAATGTTTCTCACAAGTCAAACTGTTTGGTGGTGTGGTTTTTGTTGGTTTTTTGTCTAAGCTGTGTACAGTGTTATATATACATTCCTCCATACGTAGACTGTATATGTGGATTTCATATATATGTGTATAAAATACCTATTTACTATCTACACACTCGTGTGGGAAGTTGAAGTCATACTGGTTTTTTGATTGCAATAGTTTGATTTGTTAGCCCAGCACTGTGGTCTGGTTTAGCGAATTTGTCCACGTATCTGGTGGATTTGCGACATGATTCTTTCAGAATTGCATACGGCAAACAGGAGTATAATGAAGTAGAAATATCTTGTAACTCATTAAGTACCATGTTGGGATTATTTCTAGAAAGCAGGAGTTCTGGGTTGTGTATGAACAACTGAGAGGCTTATTTACTGAGACACAGCAATGTCTGTCACATGGGCCTTTATGCTGGCTGTGGCAGTGCAGGCCAGCTAGATACCAGTGCTCTTGGAGGAGAGTGGGAGCAAATTCAGAAACCTACAGGCATGCGTTTAAACAAGTAGTTAAAAGTGTAATTTGGTGGACCTCTTAACCAAGTCTCTGAAATGTTGCAAAACGGCTTTTCCAGAAAGAAGATTGAGAAGAAGTGCTTGAAGAGTCACCCAAGAAGCTCATGTCTGTTTGTTTTATTTTTTCCTAACTCCTATTCCTGTGCAAGTTACGTTGATAGTAAGATTTGTAACCGAACTTCAGTAATCCTGGATCCTTAGAAAACCAAGTTCTGCTCAAGTGTCTCTCGAGGAAATGGCAGTTTCTTATGGATTTCCCACGTGCTCTGGGGACTGAGACTCTGAACCAGGGGCGCACCCCTTCTCTCCCCTCTTGGATTCTCTGGTTCCTCCACGGCGCGCTGTACTTGAAGGCTGAGCTGTCACGGTCTCAGTGGCTGACTCGGATTGTTGCCGGTCTGTCAGTTTTGGCATGCCCAGGCTCTCAAGTACCTGTACTTTTGATTTCATGTCACATCTTGCCAAGTGTATCTGTTTGAATGACTCAGTTGCAAGCTTAAGTGCTTACACAGCATGCTTTTCTTTCCTCACGTGACATGAAAGGGCACATGGATGTGTTTATTCAACAGCTTATTTAGTATCGAGGTGGATAATATGATACGAATTAGCATAATGCTCTGAGATGGCTTAGAAAATCGTTCTTTTTGTTTGCAAGACTCATCGTTCCTTCGGAAGCAATATGTACTTTTGCAACGTCTGAATAATTAACACTCACAGTTTTGGGGTCTATTTAAGATCTGATCTCTGAACTCACAAAGCTCTTGCTCCTAACAATGAGGGTGGAATGTATAGTTTGTTTGTCTTGTTAGCAAGATGTTTGTCTCCAGCGCTTTCTAGGCAGGTTCCTGCTCTAGGCTGACCTTTACTTCTAATGACAGGTCTAACTCAGGGCACTCGGGGCAAGAGGTTTCCCATACCTGCACAAAAGGAAGTTTCTTCTAGCCGTTGGTAGAGGGGAGGCTGCCACCTCTCGGCCGCGGATGGGTAAACGAGGAGGGATGCTCTAGCTGTCTGAATCCATCTGGTGGAAGTTCAAGTAGAGGTGGCTGGGAAATTCATGCCCTTGGCATGTAGATTTGTGCCATCCTCATTTATTTTTTTCCCCGTGTGTGGCAGCAATATTTAACTTGTGCAGTAGACAGCCTCTTAGGGCCTCGTTCTAGAGGAGTATTTTGGGTGACAGAAAGCTCACATGAACGAAGCCTGTTGAGTTGTTATGTGGAGCCAGTAGCTCAGTGTTCAGCCCACTTGGTGCTGAAATGGAGATACTGAAAAGCTGGTGTCTTAAGTATTTGAGAGGCACGGGAGAAGTGTGAATGTGCTGCTGCCTGTTCCATGGAAATCTTCCCTACAGCGCTTTGGTAGCTGGTCTGCAGCCCATTAGGCCTAAGTGAAAATGGGCATTTGCATCTTGGATCTCCTCGGCATGCTGAGCTCTGCTGCCGTGTCTATCCCGTGTGTTGTTTTTCATTGTATCATCCGTCTCCTGTTATAAAATCTGTAGATCTGTCTTCTCCACAGTGTGATGAGAAACTGATGATTTTTTTTTTTTTTACAAGAACGGGAAAGATGCTGCTTTGGGATGAGAAAAGTGCAAGATGTAGTTTTTCCATTTCTGCAGCTTTTCCTGAGCAAGTGTGTTAAAACTGCATATTCTTCTTCAAGCCAAGTTGAATTGTTGTTTGTTTGCTCTACGTCTCTTGATGAGGCAGAGCTTTGATACCTCTGTTAGATTTTAGGGGATGCTATTTTCCAAGTAGCGTTGGGTCACAGTGCCAGCATCATGCCTCTTAGGTGTCCACGCCACAGGATTTACAACTGAAGCCGTGAATTGCTCTAACATGCATCCCTGTGATGAAGCTACCTAAAGGATGAAAGAAAAAAAAAAATCACTTAGTTGAGTGCACGGGTGGGATTTCTGCTCTTGAATGACTCAAACTGGAATTTGGTTGGAAATTTAGGAGATTGGTGGTGATACTGCTGAAAAATATTTTGCGGGATCTCAACTAGTGCACAGTGGTTCCATCAGCATGGTATCTCCAGACCTTGATTCAGCACTTAGTCAGAAAGGAAGGATTCTGCTAGCTGTACCATTGTTTAGTCACGCTGAGAAGACCTTGTCACCTTCCTGCATGATGTTGTTTTTCTTGTGGCCATAACTGAAAGCAGGTGTTGACTTACAGTCGATGAGGAAATTGCCGTCAGCTGTCACTAAAGTGGTCCTCTGAAAGACTAGGACATTGCTTGGACACGCCACCCTACCAGCGATTCTTGTAACTGGGCAGAGACCAGTTCCAACAGATGTTTGCTTTGACGGTGAAGCTTCTGAGCTTTCTCTCCACTTGCCCGCACCCTTGCTCCCATGTTAGAGAGGGATGCCCATCTCTGCACTGCTCCTGCCGAGCAGGCTGGCTCGCTCCTGGGCTCAGCTCTTCTGTCGGTCTGGGACGTGGGTGTAAGATCCTCGAGAAAAAAGGACTTAACTAATACTTGGAATTCAGAGTGGGAAGTGCACTGAGAATAACTTGATGCCCTCACTGTATGCTGAACTCCTGGTCTTCCCGGAGTGGATTTTCTGGCTGGATTGCAAGTTGGATAATGCTGATATTACCCTAGAGGAATTTCCCATAATCATGTTTTTACACGCATCTCCAGCAGTAGTTTATTTACAGCTTGTTCTTTCTACCGAGCTGTGCTGGAATGGCTTAGAAGCTTGTTCTCCTTAGCAGTATCTGAATCTGCTCACAAGAGATAGCACAATAAATCTATATATTGCGTGCAGGCAATGTCTGTTCAATGTGACTTGTGAAAATACATTCAAATAATTACATTTTTTGCAGAAATATAACATGACTCTTTTGCCTTTGACAGTAGCCTACACAGAGCAGCCCAAGCTCTTGAAGCTTATGCAGACCTGTCTTGAAGAACACCACAGCTACTGCATCAACGGACTCTGTGCTTTCCACAGTGAACTGAGAAAACCCATATGCAAGTAAGGAATACTGCGTATAAGTATCCTTCTTAGAACAGAACAGGAGCATCATATCTCTGCTACATGCCACTACTGTAACACGACTGCTTGTCAGCAGAGCACAGCTTTCAAGCGCGGGTCAAGTATTTGCAGACTTAAGATTTGGCGCAGGCTTGAGTGCTAGCACTTGAGCTAGCTTTAAACCAGATAGACTGGGACAACTGGCAGTCTTGGTGGAGTGAAGAGATTCTGACTGAGCACTGCATTCAGCCCTTCTTTGTTTAGACTTAAATTGTTTAAAACTGATGAAAACTCACATGCGTTTCTGAAAAAACAAGCTCTGAGTAATTTTTGCATGGTTGATTTTTTAGGTGCCTTGCAGGTTATAACGGAGAGAGGTGTGAACATTTAACACTAAATTCTTACGCACACAATTCTTACGAACGCTACATTGCTGTGGGAATTGGTGTAGGAATACTGACAAGTGGGATACTTGCTATCATCTACTGCTACGTAAGAAAGAGGTATGGAAGATACGTGACCTTCTGATTACCTTCACCTCAATCTCGGTGGGCAGGAAGAAGCAGTGCAGAGGTTTGAGGGCACTGGGAGTGTGTTCCTGTTAGTGATCTGCAGCAGGAGCTTTCAAGAGCTGATGCTCTAGACCTCTGCTTCTGAGCTGCCACCTGGGTCAAGTGGTGCAATTGGGTGAAATGCGGGGTTTGTTGGGGCTGCCTGTCTGGGCTAGGTGATCAGGTTTAGGTTCTATTCAGACTGCTGTCGTTTGACGTATGATTTAAAATCATATGTTGTCCTTTTTAGATGCAGGAAATTGAAGTCACCCTACAAAGTCTGCGTGGGCGAGACAGCATTGTGAAGACCTGGCGTTGGGACACTTACCAATTAGCCTGTGAACGAGAGCAGGTTCTGCTGGGAAGACGCCCCTGCTCCATCTGGCAGGTACCCCAGCCTAGCTGATGAGATGACATAAAGGGCATAACAGAGCCAGTATATAAAAGGAACTCCCACAGAACTGATGGGCCCCGTTGGCTTTTGAAGAAAGACATTTTTTAGTAAAGGTTGCTAGATGAGCAGGTCCGAACAGCTCAAGGTACTTGCAGCCCTCTCACACCGTCCCGTGGTTTGTATTTGTCGAGGGGAGGACTGGTTGGTTTTAGCTGTTTTCAGTCATTTCAAGCCTTCATGCAGTGTTCTGCTCTGGTCTTTGCTCTCTCTTTTTTTTTTTTAAGTTTTTTTTCTCCTCTGGAGGAAAGGCATGATGTGTGTCACAGCGGAGTGCAGTTCTGAACACCGTGTGCTGACAAGAAACCGTTCGGATTCCGATTTCAGTGTCTGCTGCCCACGTGTGTGGATTAACAGCCCTCTTCCGGCACAGCAGTTACCTTCACTGTGCTAAGCCAAGTACAGGCTGCTGTTGCCATAAAGGACAAAAATCATAAAATGCTTTGGACTGAGGGAAAAAGGATGATTTTTAAAAGCTTACTTAAGCTTAGGAGTAGAGAGTGAGCAATTCCTGAAAAACTAGATCATGACACCTCTGAGCATGTCAAGTTCTTAGTGTTTTCGTAAGCAAAGGAATTGAACATCTTCCTCAAAATGGCTTATTGGATGTGCTCATGACAAAGAAGTCTGCTCTTCCCTGACGTCAGCGTTGTTTTAGCACCAGATTCCAGATGCTAGCGAAGGTGGAATTCTGTTACCAAAGTCTGGTGTACTTTTGCCCAGGAAACAGAATGTTTATTTTGTTCTCACATCATGTGCACAATGTGGCCCCTCAAATAAGAGAGAAATGAATGCAGAGATTTTGTTCCACCCTGGACAAACTGCTTACATAGCAGATGCCTGTTCATCTTGGCTACAAGGAATCATGAAGGTAAAAAGGTTTTGTCCAAGAATAAGAGAAGAAAATTGGTTCTGAAGACAGTGGCACTAACTGTGACACCTGCCTGACAGTTGGATTGTTTGCCGATGCTACTGAGACTGGACATGTCTTTGAGAGATTTACATTTCAGCTTTTGTGTGTTGTAGATGCAGCTGCTGTGCTTAGTCACCTGTGAGAAAAAGGCAGCCACTTGGCAGTTTCATGGTGTGATATAGGCTCCTAAATTTCGGTGCCCTGCTGGAAAGCTCGATTTCCTTGTTGCGCGAGTTGATTTCCTCAACAGAATGCATGTTGTTTGTCAAAAAAACCCACCGTGTGTTTGTGAGACTATAATGCCAATGCTGAAACGTGTATGAAAGGCTGGGTTGTGAAAGGGTAAGTGCATTTGGCACTCAAGCAGCTGAAATTCGGTGGGCTTCTCCCGCAAGGGGATCCTGGTCAGTAGCTGAGTCACCTTGGCTCTCCATTCGATACCAATAAATAAAATGACAAGACACACACTGGCTGGAGTCACCGTGCAATGGACTGGAGCGTTCAACACTTGCGGACGCAGAACGGCTTGCTGGAGAGGAGCTGGATGGAAAGTAGACGCCAGTCCTTGCCTCTCTGTGTTAGCCTGAACTTTTCCTAAGAGACACGGAGCTGGTTTTCCAACTCTGTCTTTTTGTCTTCTTCACCTGAAGTTAAATCTTGAGATCTCTGTATTGTTTGCTGCTTTCCATTCTTCTGACTTTTGTCTCTCAGTGGATACTAAGAAACTTCTGTTCATTGTGATTTTCAAGCTGGTTTACACTGTTTTAGAGTTTTGTGAAGGGAGCGTGCAATTAGGTATTCATTATGATCTGCTCGTCTACACACAGGTACAGAAAAAACACCCTTCATCCCTCACGCACACTGAACAGAATGAACAGAAATACGTATAAGAAACACGTATGTCATCATACAGGTGAGAGATCTTCCTCGGGGATCTCCGAGAAAATCTTAGAGCTAGGTAGGCCCAAGGATGTAAAGGCTCAAAGCTTTTGTCATGTGGGTGACCCCTGAGGCTGGGTCTTGCAGCAGGTGATCTCTAAGGTCCCTTCCAGCCATTTCATGATTCAAAGAACTCACTCGGGTTGGTGTTCAGTTGTTAAAGGTGGTCTAAGGGCAGGAGTTTGGATGTCTGGACTTGCACTGGCCCAAACAAAGCTGTTGGGGAGAGATGGACTTGGTTTTCTCTTACTGAACTTACTGACACCCTTGACATAGGGCAGGCCACGCAGGTGCCTAGCAGGATATGCAGGTGCTTCTCCAGAAGTGTTTACTCCTTGCAGTGAGACACTCTACCTGTAGGAATACACACTGACTTCCTTTTTTAAGTGTTTGTTTAAAAGTAACTGCAAAGGAAGGATTATTTCAAGGCCACAATTTACCAAGAGAGTAAATACAGAATGTTTTTTCTCTGGTTTGCTTTCTGGTCCAAGGCAGCTTTGGACGTGCTGCCAGCGAAAGTTTGCTGAGACTTTCTCTGCCAGGAGAACAGCTCCAGAGTGAAACACCAGAAGCGTCTGTGCTGTGCAAAAGGATACTTTGTGTCAGGCCTGAATAAGAATAAAATGCCAAGACAAAGCTGGTAAGAAGGAATGAAAAGAGGGTCTTTGCTTGATTTACTTTTCTTTTTCAAGTGGTATTGAGGCTTCCGGAAAGGCCTTTCTTGCCACGTGGGTGCTGGATGCCCTTCATGCTGAAGCACAACCTCAGAGCAGGCTACCACCTTGTTCAACACCCAAGCCTGGTGGCACCAACCTTGATGACAGCTTTATCCATCAGTCTGCAATGTTTACAGGCATTGACATTGCAGTTTGAAGGGATTTGATCAGGCCCAGGCTATGTTTGAGGCATCACTGCATGAGTGAATCACTTGGCTGGCTGATGCAGTGACCCGGTGGTTAAGTCTGTGTTGCCTCAGCTGGCTTGGTGGAGTTAGCCGGGCTGAGGCCTGCCTTGATAAGTGACAGATGCTGCCGAGCTGGTGTGGTGTGTCGCTGCTTACGGTGCTGAATTTCCTGCAGAACTGGCCTGGCAGAGCATTAGCATCATCTTTCCTGGCTCATTTATCAGGCTCAGATTCCTTCTGTAATGGCGTAATTAACAGAGTTGTACGATTAGCTTCACATGCCCCAAACTGTCATTTCAGAAGACCCTGTTTGTATGGCTTTTAGGGAGCCATGCATCAACCTTGTTGGGACACCGGCTCAGCAGGGCCAGGAGAGGCATTCAAGGCTGGGATCTGCCGTTCTGAAGGACAGAGCACTTGCCCTGGCTGTCATCGTGGCTGGTGGCACCACACTGGCTTTTTCTGCAGCGCATCTCGCAAGCCTGGTTGCCCTTAAGCCACACAGCCCTCTGCCTGCTTTGCTGCCATCAGCAGTCACCGTGCAGGTGTGCATTGTTGGTAATGCTTGGCTGAGACTTGGACACCTAAGAACGAGCTGTGAAATTGGTTACTTACCAATGACTCTGGACCATATGCCAAAAAACCCTGCAAAAAGCAAAATAAACAGCAGCCAGAGCACAAAGCCAAAAAATGAACCCCCTAAAATAAGGGACACTCAGCAAAACTTTACGCCTTTCTCTTTCTTTACAGCAATTATATATTTTACTTAGTTTCTGGTCCATGAAATACACTGTAGATGGCAAAGTGTTCTCCTAAAAGAAAGCTAATTTGGCAAAATAATTGATTTAATAATTAAGTTCAGAATAGCTCCCCTGACCCCTGAAGCTTACAGTTTTTTATGGATTTGACTTTGGAGCGTCTGTATGAAGCAAGGCAGCGCTTTGGGCAGAATGTGCTGTGGAGAACTAAGGAAGGGGATAAACTGATATGAAGGAGAAACATCAAACTTTTTGAAGCAGCTCATAGTGCTCTAGCTGAGAGCTTGTCCTTCTGCTCCTCCAAGGTCTTTGAAGAAAGGATTCTCCAGTGGATCGACACCCTACTGGCACTACTGAGAGAGGGGAGAGAGTGGTCAGTCGTGGTGAAATGAGAAGTTGCTCGCAAACAGCACAAGTTTATTTTGGAGTGTTCATTTAAACTCTATGATACATGACACGAGTGGTGTTTTTATTGTAGTCCGTGTTTCATTCAATGAAGTATCATGGCAACATGTGTCTGAAATTAAGAGAGTTTGCATGATACAGATAAATAAGCTAAAGGCTGTGTTTGGTCATCTCCAGCTCGTCATAGTCAGAGTTTTCAACAGCTCTGCTCATTTCAGTAGCTCCAGGTGTGGAACTGAATGGCTTCATGGATCCAGCCCTTAGTAGAAAGAAGCCTGAAAAACGAGTGGAGTGAAAAGCACTCGTTATGTCCATTTCACAGGGTCTGTGGTGGCCCCAAGGTACCAGGGGACCGAAAGCTTGGCGCTCTGCTTTCTCGGCTTTACGGACTTCGGGTCGCATCCGCGGTGACGCGTGGCTGCTCGTTCATGTCCTGTTGTCAGCCTTGCTCTGAAGAGGGAAACGCCTCTAGAGGTCTCTGTTGTACCATAAATTCCGGAAATCTTTTTGGACTCCTTTACGACCCAGTTAAACAAACAACAAAAAAGTGCAGGTACTCATTAAAAGCTTAGTGTAAGTAGTCATTAATTATTATGACAGCAATAAAATCTTGTACTATGACGAGTCTTTGGGGTGCTCCCACTCTCGCTGAATTGAATGGGAGCAAGAGCAGCTCTTGGCCAGCTGAAGGAGGTGTCATGGCACAGCAGGCACCTCTGGTTTGTGCAGAGGAGGATTTCTGGAGCAGAGTTACTACAGGCCCCTTTTGCGTGCTGCTGCGTGTGTGGGCAGTGCTGGGGTTTGAAGCTGGGGCACAAATGGCCTGTGGTTGAATTTGACCTGATACTTAAGCCCAGTGCCTGCGTGGCAGCAGACCCCTAAATGCGAGGCAAGGTAACTGCAAGGAGTAGAGGTGGATGCCTTCGGCCTACCTA